TTGAGCAAATCAGATGAAAGCTCCAGTAGCCAAGAAGAGGAGGATAGTTCAAGCACTCCATCAGACACTGAGAATGTGCCCAGAGATCCTCTAGACGAGAAAGTGGCTTTGTTGGTGAATTTTCTACTGCTCAAGTATCAAATGAAAGAGTCCATTACAAAGGCCGACATACTGAATGTCGTCATCAGAGAGTACAAAGACCACTTCCCTGAGATCATCCTGATAGCCTCTGAACGCATGGAGATGATCTTTGGTCTTGACCTGAAGGAAGTGGCTCCCATCAGTCACAGCTATGTCCTTCTCATCAAATTGGGCCTCACCTACGACGGGATGCTGAGTGGTGAAGGTGGCATGCCAAAGACCGGCATCCTGATACTTATCTTAGGTGTAATCTTCATGAAGGGCAACTGTGCCACCGAAGAGGAAGTCTGGGAAGTTCTGAATGTGACGGGGATATATTCTGGACAGAAGCATTTCATCTTTGGGGATCCCACGAAGCTCATCACCAAAGAGTTGGTGCAGGAAAAATACCTCAAGTACCAGCAGGTGCCCAACAGTGATCCCGCATGATATGAATTCCTGTGGGGTCCAAGAGCCCATGCTGAAACCACCAAGATGAAAGTCCTGGAGTTTGTGGCCAGGGTCCATGGGACTGACCCAAGTTCTTTCCCATCCCAGTAGGAGGAGGCTTTGAAAGATGAGGAAGAAAGAGCCCAAGCCAAAGCTGCAGCCAGCCCTGGCGCTACCGCCATGGCCGGTGCAAGTTCCGGTGCCATGTCCAGCATCTATTCTGACCCCTAGTGAAGTCTGGAGTAGATTTTTCACCTAGTGTTTGAAGAGGGCAGTTAACATTCTAAATAGGGAGGGAACACAGTGTCTATTATCTTTGTGTTCCTGTTCTACATATGTAACTTGACAATTTATCTTTTTATTGGGGGAGAGAGGTGTCTTACTTAAATGTTATTTAATAGACAGTTGCATTATCTTCAGAATCTGTCAGTTTAAGAATGAGATGTCACCCATTTATTGCTGTTTATGAGATTTAAAAGTAACATCTTTGCTATTTTGTAAGAACAAAATGGGAAAGCATCCATCGTATTTTGTGATCTAGAATAAGATAACATGGTATTGTGATAGGTGTTTCTTTGGAAATGTGAAGGAACTCAGCTTCAAAATAGTTGAGATGAAGAGTTAGAGAAAAAAGTAAAAGACAGTCAAATCTTGGCTTCTCTTATACCTTTTAGTGTGTTGTTCTGTAAAATTAAATGATACTGACATTGGTTTGCTTAGCTTATTCAAGAATGCATGGTAAATAACTCTTAATAAATAACTCTTAATAAACTCCATGCTCATTGTCTCATTTATTCCCGAAAATTTAATTGAACATACACTTATTGGAAAGCACTATGTTAGTTCTGGGGGTGCTACAATAAACAAGACTCAGCACCTGCCCATAGGATTTTAACATACAGGAACAATAATCCTATAAGGATGATGGTGGAATATTATCTAATACGTAAAGAACAAGTAAAAGAAGGAGTTAGCAGGTAGGGGTGGTGGGTCCATATGAGAATGTCAAGTATAAATACCCTGAAGCAAGGAAATTGGGGGCTTTTGGAAACTGTAATTCCTTCAATGGGAGTTAATTTTCAGTTAAGCTGGGTGGGGAGCAAGATGAGACTGGTGGTGGTGAGCAGAGATCACACTCTCGGATAATGCATCTCAGAGTTGAGACCCAAAAGCCTGGAGTGGAGAACTGCCGTTTGCATTTACTTTGGGATTGTGGGTAACTGGAGAGTAATGCCCATTGGAGCAGGAATGGAAGATGCCTTTACTCTTGTCCCAATGTACTTGAACACAGTGCATGAACTAGGTGTTTTTTGGATATCAATTTCAAGGATTTTTTAGAAAAAAAATGCTATACTTTCTTGAGGTGCGATGGACTGGCACTCTTTACCCTGACCTGAGGAAGTCTACTCCATTGAAGGGATATTTTAAATAGGCTATCTCAAGTACAATGTGGAAAACTGTAAGCAAGGCATAGATTTCTGATGGGGGTGAAATGAATGAAAATAGGGGTGGATTGGATGGAAGGGCAGCTGGCAGGGAGGTGTGGAGCTGGTCTATGATACAAATTCTAGGAACTTTGAGTTGCATCCATTTGGGGAATATCCCTCAAGCCCAAATTAAATAGCATAATCTCTGAGGGGAAAAATTTATTGAGGTTTACTTGCTAAGCAGCATTTTTATCTGATTTGATATTTTATGTCCTCTAGAACTTCATGTTTTCTGAGACATCTTGGAATTATATGTATATATATATATGTATATACATATATATATAT